AAAGGGATTTAGTTTTGCCCAGAGAAAAAATTTATCAGAGCAAGACATATTTGGTTTACGTATGAACTGAAATCTTCCTTCAAACTGCAAAACAACTGATTTCTGTGTTTCATTGTATAAAGTCTGCCTGGGTGAGTCTGTCAGGAATCTACAGCTAAGACATTGTGAGAATATCTTCCTTTCTTCAACCATTTGCTTGTTTCCTTTATTTAAACAGTAAGTCTTTAAGGGTATTTTGCTCTTCAAATGTACAATGACATGTTTCATTGTACATGGCTTAAGGAGATATCACTGTTGTCAGTTTTGCCATTTTTAATTGACCCATTGATATTTGGTGTTTTTCTTAAAGTTCCTAAACTCCTTGGCTGAAGTAATTAAGAATTTGAGGGAGACGGGTTCTTAGCACTTGGGTCTAGAGGAAAAAAATTAAAAACTTCAACAGTAAAGCAAACAGAGAGAACTCAATGCTCCTGAAATAATAAGATTTAAAATCCTTTCATGACTTCTTAGTACTCAACATTAACAAAAATGATGCAATAATACACACATCATATAATAATAAAAATGTTTGCTAAAAATGATCCTTCATTAGCAAGCAATAGAGCTTCTGATTGAACAATGAAATTTAATAAAAAACTAATAACCCATGTGCCCATGAGAGTATGTCTTATTTCTGTGACTGCAGTTTTCCTTCCAGTATTATGAGAAAAATGCTTGGCTTTCTTTGCCTTCCTTGTCTTTATGCTGAGAGTTGTGAAGGTCTGTCTTTATAAATTATTACAACAGCCCCTTTCCATCACTGACCATACTATTTTCATTTAACAATGCTGATTTATTCTAAGACATATTAAATATGCCATGAAGCTGTTTTCCCATCTTGTCCCCCCGCATATTTGGAAGAAAACCTTTCAAGAGTTTTCTGACTTACAAGCCTATTTGGGGATCTGTCCCTTATGTTTCTTTGTTTCCCTCTGTGTGTTTCCACCCCACCCTTCAAACTTTCTGTCTAGATCACTCATTTGAAAAGTCACTTTGATAAGGCAGTTTTGGAGTGAAGAGGTTGCTCTCCTGCCAAATAGTCAGTGATTGTTTCGCCTAATTGAAGCCGCTGGTTGGTCTCCCTGAGGGTTGTGTGCCTGAGTGCTGCTCTGGATAAGCAAAAAACTCCCTTCTCGAGCCCTCTCAAAGAGGCTTTCTTCATGATTTTGAAGTTTAATTTCCACAAGCCTATAATAAAGGGGTCTTTAGGAACACCTACAATTGTCAGGCAACCTGGAAAGAGTGCACATCTGATTTCTGATCGTTTTCTTTCACTGGCAGATCCCTTCTGGGGAATCTTCAGCTGCTTGATTAGGGCAATTTTAAGTTGGATTTGTGCTTGTCAAGCAGTGAGAAACCTATCTGTCATCTTCCAGGATCTAGCCCTGGAAACCAAGCACCTTTTCCAGTGATAATACAAATGTTTTTATTAAGATTTCTGCTTCTTACCTAAAGCTTTCACTGTAGAACATTGCAGAAATTCCTAAAGAAAAAAGGCAAATAATTAAGAACAGTCTCAAAATCGTGAGTGATACAACACACACAGCAGAAGGAGAAAAAAAGCAAGGACAAGAGCATTTATTAGGATCATGACAATTGGGAAAATCAGAATGAAGACTTAAAAACTGCTAACAAATATTTAAAAAAAAAAAAGTCAATTTTCAAAAATACGTGGGAGTTTTGAATTTGGCATTTAAGAAAAGTATTTCTGAACCTCTCCTAAATTAATCTGTTCCAGCATCCTTACCCTGCTACAAGGGATTCTGCAAGCAAGATAAAAAAACAATTTCAAAGCATAAAGCACTTATTTCATGGCAAACAGACAGAGGCAGGTAGGTAGCATTTAGCCAGCTGTAAGACTAAGCATAAATGTGTTCCCCACCCTTAAGAGCACCCTGAAAGCTTTTGCTGGGAGGCAGGCCTGAGCAAGGAGGGGCAGGGCTGGCCTCTGCAGCTCTCTGGAGCAGGTCCTCACTGTCACAGGGTTATCTTTGTCCATCTGCCCTTGATGGCACATCATTTGCCCCAGTGAGCTGATGCTTCCCAACTAGCAGCCCTGACTATCACGACCAGCCTCCCTGAAGCTTTTCCCTTATTTTGTCACACCTTTCCATACTGATGTTTCACTGCTTGAATCCTCCAGCTACTTCTGATCCTATCTCAACAATCCTGCTTCTGCCTGTAATTTTACCTCTCTTATCTACTTGCAGACTTTCACACAGATTTTTCTGAGCAGTTTGGGTGGAGGTTATGCAGTTGTGCTGCATCAGAGCTGAGTCGTGGGTCCAGATACACAGTCAGAAAAACCCTGGGTGGTAGGAGAAATCTTACAGCAGGGGCTAACGGAAGAAGGGGCTACAGACAAATGTAATAAATTCCTAAATGTATCAATAGAAATCTACTGCTTCTACCAGCAGTTAAACAAAAAACAAAAAACAAAACAAACAAACAAAAAAAAGGTTCCTGTGACTTACAGATAACTTACTTCTGCGAACTAGCTAGTTACAAAGCATTTTACATGGCAAGCAGCCTATGCCTAGGACAAGCCACCTGATTTTTCATGCTAAGGCAGCATATCAAATGCTCAGGCTGGTATCCCTAGGCACCCATAATTCCTAAGTACTGAGAGCTTTAGAGACACAACATCTGTAAGACTGGACCTAAAATGACAGAACAGAATTGAAGGTCAGGCAGAATAATTTACCTCAGCTTTGGGTATTTGATAGATGAGAAGGCTCTTACTCATTGGAAATGTTAGGAAGCATTACAAGAACAAGTGATAAACAGGAAGTTTTAGATTCATAAATTTTAATGCCAGAAGAATCATCAAATCTGACCTGCATACCGCAGGCCATGAAATTCCACTAAGTAATTGTCACATGAAGCTCATTAATTTGGGGCTAAAGTAGTGCTTATCTCCCCATAGTAACAGTTATCAGAGACCATCAGACACTATTTATTTTTAAGAGTGAAAAAATAAAAATAATAATAATTTTGCTACTGCAACTACCCACCCCCTTTCTCTATACATGCTTGGTGGAAGTTTTCAGAAAGCTGTATTGCAGTAGGATCGCAGAGAATAAATGAGAAGTACCAATGCAGTTTGCACATGACATTGCACTTCTTGAGTATCTAGCAGCTATAAAATAGAGGATAATAAATTATTGTTATGCAACAAGCAAGAAATGGAGTTAAAATAAACACAAAGAAAACTAAAGATGACATAAAGCATTTGCACCCAAGAAAAAAATACTCCTGGCAAATGGAAAGTAATAAAAAAGCTGCAGCATACATTCACCATTGATAGATCTTTATTTTATAAAATTATGACCATGAGAAAGAAATTATAAAAAGACCCTAGGATGGATGGAGAGCATTCGAAAGCATGAATGCAGTTCTGGAAAACAACAAAATCGGGTCCTGTGCAGAGCAGATGCAAAGATTACTGGCTGGGTAAGCAGGTAGCTCTCTGTGACCTGTGCCAGAGCAGGAAAACGGATGCTAAAAATAATGTTAAGTTGAGCATAAAGAAAAGCAAGTTAGTGCATGAACAGTGGAGCTCAGGAAATCTTGCTTCACATGGATTCATCTCACATGTCCCTATTCACCTCAAGAATGAGAGCTTCTCCATATACCTACAATCACTCCCATCATATTGCATGTAGCTGTCACAAGCATCTCATACTTGCCCCATATAGCTCCTGGTACTGCTTTGTTCCCTGTGCTCCCACAACACAGGACCTCCACTTGCCCATGCATCTCTTCTCCACCTACCTCTTGGGACTTACTGGCTGTACAAGACAACACAAGCAAAAGATGAGGCTACAGACACACTGACTGCCCATGCTGGCTGTCCAGGTGGCTGCTATTAACCAGAACTGAGCCATGATCGAATTCTCCATTCTTTTCACTCAGAAGGAGCATTAAGGAAGTCAGTCTTCCCTACTCAGTCCCTCATTATTACAAAATTTGTAAGACTTCATAATCTTTGAGACCTCTGACTAAAAACAGACAAAGGGGATGAAGAGGAAGACAGGTAACAACAGTCTTACTAACTTTATTTTTCATTAAACCAGACTAGAAGAAAAAAAGGTTTCATTTATTCAGTAGGGAAAAACAGAATAAAGACAATGCCATCTTCACAGGACTAAATCCTGATATGCAGGCTTAATATTTTTGCAAACAAAATGCAAAAGCACCTTTTAACTGAGTCATCAGTATACAACTGCTTAATCAAAATAATTAGGGGATCTCAATATGATTCATTACTTTTTGTTTTAATCATATGTGGGAGGTAGAAAATTGCATCTAAACATTTTGGTCAGATAAAAGGTCTTTGTGGCTCTCCCGTGAAGGAGGAACACACCTCCAGGTGTTTCATGAAGAGAGTGATATACAATCACCAGTACAAAGGATGATACAAAATGTTCCCATTTAGTCAGTGAAAGAGTATCTAAAGTAAGGCTTGAAATTAATAAATGTATGAATAGTTTAATTAAATAAATGCAATGGCAAAAGCAACTTATTTTAGAACTAAATTATTATGAGACAAATATGCATGTCATTTTTATTTAAAGTTCCTTATTTCCTTTAATTATAAATACTACAGAATCTCTTGGCATTTACACTTACATGAATAAGTGTTTAAGTAGATAAAACTTCCATAAATATAACAAATGTTTCTATAAATGCAACTGCATCCTGGTGAAGAATAATTATTTTTCTGTTTTCTCAAGTCTATCAGCAATAGATACTTGAATAAATGTGAGATAGCATCATTCTAATAAATGACTGTACAACATGCAACCAGGGAGATGGAAAGGAGAACAGGGATTATTTATCATTGGCATTGCTCCAGCTGTTTGCAAGAAAATAATTCTTGAAAGCCACCCGACATGGGACAGAGCTGCCCCCATAACTTGCTGGAGCTTGATGCTAATGATAGATGGGCCAGCACCTCTTTCAGTGACAGTGATAAAACAGTGATGGGCCTTCCAGCGATCGCATATCTGAATGTAAAAAGAGGTCCAATCTGCCTATGGCACTGTTTTCAGGTCAGGATTTTATACCTTAAGTTTTCCTTCTAGAGCCAGTGGTTGTCCAGCCGCTGCTTTCTTCCCAAGAGGATGGTCAATAGGGAATGTCTGCTTTGTCCTATTCTCCCTGATTTTTAGTGTCCCATCAGCAGTGAAAATTCCCACCCACCTAATGCCAAAGCTGACCTTCAGCCACTTTAGCTTTCATATCTTCCACTGGAGTTGGTCCTCTGTGCTTCCGCTACAGTCAGTGGAGGGAAGTGCTTTTAGTTGTTGGTTGACCTATTTTAGGCATCAACTTTAAGTCTGAAACCTTAAGTTTAAAACAAAGCATGTTTTTAAGGGTTTGGGTTTGTTTTTTTTTTTCCCTTTGGAGAGCTAGAGGGTGTATTGTTGGCACTTGATTCCTCTAATTTGTTACAGGCATTGACTTCAAGTTGAAATCAGTCTTCCCCAAACAGTAACAGTATGCTCTGAACTTAGGTACATAAACTTTTGATTACACTTGGACATGTCTGGAAGGAAAAGGCACATTATACAGATTTTTTGCCATCAGTTACATGTGAAACCTGTCCTGGTTCAGGCAGGAGGAAGAGCTGATCCAAGGATGCCCAACACACGGGTGGCTGGAGGTGTGGTATGCATGATTCCAATTACACCTGACACTGAAGTTGATGCCTTGATGAAATAATTACTGAAGCTTGCAGGAAGCTGCAAAGACTCATACATATGCATCAAGAATCCTACTGAAATATGGGAGAGCGGCAGCTGACTTCAATCCAAGTCACTGGGGGACAATGACAATTTTTTTCTGTCTTCCAATGCATGACAACCAATTATTCTTGTCCATTATTTATTATCTTTAAAATGAATAACATAAATTGTTCTTGGTTTTTATACTATACTCCTAAACCTTCTTTGCATTACACATGTGTAGACACAGAAGTCTACTGCTGAATTATCTGTTGAGATTCCCAGCAGCTAAAAAGCATTAGGGTTGTCACTGATGGAAGGGAAGCAAGCTGCACTGGGACAGAGGCAGCTTGGAAGAACTTTCCATTGTCTTGGGAAGAGAGGTGAATCACCTTGAGCAACAGCTCATTTGTGAGCTAAGGGAACACAGCTCAAAGCCAAAATAGTGCACAAGGCAATTGGAAAGTCTGCTACTATTTACCCTCCCTATACTTGTCCTAAATATGGTAAATAATTTCTTAACTTTGCATTTTAGACAGATAAACTTGTATTTCTGTGAGGCAGAAGTTCGCCTAGACTGCTAGACTGGCAATTTAGAAGGACCTGGCAGGTGGAGTCCCAGTTTTTTCCCATGAGGGAATATCCAGCTTCTGTCTAGGAGTCCAAGTAAGGTGCCAAGGCTCTGCTCCTCTGCACAGTGAGGACAGATGGCAATTTGGAAAGGAGTGGAGGGCATCCTCTGGGCAGGGTGGCAGAGCTTCCCTTGGCATACAGCAAGGAGTGTGAGGACAGAAGGGGCTGAGGCCACCATACTAAATTCCCTACCTCCACCAAGCGCAGCCCTCAAGAAGGGAGCAACACTCATTTATGTACATGACCTAGTATTTTCTTGTAGATAATAGTAAGCTATTTGTTAGCTATTGTATATTTATGAATGCAAAGGTGGACATGGCTGGAAGATCATATATCAAGCAAATGTGGATTCTGAGGTCAAGAGGAATATGTTTCGGTGACTGATCATTTCTATTCCTAGTTCTGGTTTTGTGCTTATTTTCTCTGTCAGGAGCAGGGTGTGGGTGTAGCAGAGAGATGGATAAATGTGTGTGTTTGCAGCTGGGGAAAGCAAGTGGCTGCCAGATAACAATTCTGTTTCCTTAATCGTGTTCAGCAGCCGCATCCCTCCCACAGATCGTTTCTGCAAACGCGCCCTTTATTTCTGTTTTACCACTAGATGGTGGTAGCAGGTAAAGGCTTGCCTTTTTTTTTTTTTCCCTTCCCTTTTCCCTCACTCCCATTTCTTTGTTTACCGTGAATAGTTCTAGGACACCGGTTCCAGTAAAAGATTTATTGCTTTCTCTGAATTATCAAATGATTACACAGGTATAGATTTAAAATTCACTGTTTGAAAAATAACTGTTTGCATCCTTTCCTAATCCTCAACCTCAGCCCTCCCTCTCCTCACACATCCTTGCTGAATCCAGTGAGGAGATCACAGACAGCAACCATTACAGGCAGAAACAAGCCTCACTTGTCCACAGTTTTCTTACACACTGCAAATTACACTCAGCATTTTTAGCAATTTCTACTTTATGGATACTAAAGGGCCTGGGCACCTGTTCTGCAGCCCCTGATGCGTCACCCAGCACTCCTTTAGTCTGCTCTGCCTTTCTTTCCTCAGCTGCTGGGCTTGATTGGAAGCAAGTATTCCCAACCCTGGAAGCTCTGAAGAGGGCCACCCGGCAGCTACATCTCCTGACACTGTCAGCCTTGAGTTGTTAGGAGAGGAGGAATGGGGTATGCTAACTTCTCCGTGACTCGAAAAGTAGGCTCACCTGTTTTGATTTTTTGTAGGACACTTTTTTTGCTCTGTAGATGCAGCCAACAATTAATGAAATATTGGTTTAAATCAGAGAAAACTGTTCCAAACCCTCACTAACATTTCATCAATGTACTCTGTATCAAAGCTGTTTTGCACAAGCATTATCATTTAGAAAGAAGAGAAAACACAGTCAGTGCACCTGTCATTTGATAATACCACATATTAGCCTTGGCTACTGATAAAGTGTCACAAAAGCACATTTAGCAAGTGCTTGATGACCAAAGTATGGACATTAAGACTGCATTTTGTTTATAGATATTTATTATAAATGGACCAGAACAAATTAAGTACTACACGTAATAAGTACTATATACAATCTCCTAGTCCCTTGGGTACGTGTTCATATTCAGTTTTCTTCATTTATGTGACCCCAAGGAGGACCCATATGTTAAAGTGCAGGTCAATTTACTTAGAGCTGTATTTACTTTTTAAATGGATGGCACCAGCCTACAGTGATGATAAGTGAAGGAAGAGCCATCCTTTTATTTAGTGAGAAATAAGCTTTTTGTAATCTTCTCAATAGGTCTATCTCACAATCATGTATTTCTACACAGATAAAAATATCTATTTAACAGATTAAATTCTGATGGGCGTTTTCATTCTTTCTACATAACTACTGACACAAAATAACACCCAGCGAAACAAAAACATGTATTCCTGCATCTATTTGGGTTAGTCTGGATTAAAGCTTCTGTTTTCCCTATGGCCTTTTGTAAGGTACTGAAGAATTATGTCTTTTCCCTTTCATACCGACTTTTGCCTCTTGCACCTTTCTGACACAGCACAATAAGAGGAATACTTAAAAAAATGAAAAAATGAAGTTAAAACTAAGCGGCAGTTCCTCAGGTGCTGAAAATCAATATTACTCCAACGAACTAAATTTATGCAAATTTTTATTAGCTGCAAAATTGGGCCCACTGGATTTTAATTTCACTTCCACATTCTATGTACCTTTTGATAACAAAAGCAGAAGGGAGGCAGTTCTAAACAACCCTTTAATTTTCACTAGAGGAAGGAGGTTTAGTGAAGCTTTTTTCAGCTAGAATTTCTCCTTGCAGTTCCTAAGGACATGCACACTGTTCTGTAACTTCAGTACTTCATGTTCATTTCCAGGCACTCGGTTCGATTATAAAATGTTCAGAGAAATGACTGCATTAATAAGGCAAATCTCCATCAGAGGAAAAAATACATTCTTGCAGTTAAATCATTTGTGCTGCCATTAGGCTTTTTGGACTTTCTCCCTGCTCTCCCACAGGCTTTCTGTATGTTCTTGCAGAAGCCACCTAACAAATGGCTTCTGCACCCTCACCATGGGCACGTAGTGAAGTCCCCAGATTAAGACCTTTTTAGCCCTGCGCACAGTGTGGTCTGTGCTCGCATGAGACTTCTTGCCATGGAAGGTAGAGTTGGGCTCCAACAATGATAGTTCACAAAGACCCTTTTGGTAAGTACCTAAATTTACATATGGCCATAGACTCACAAATATATTAAGCCAACACTGCAGTCGTGTCTTTCTTTGCCCCCTGGCACTCCTTAGTGCCTGTTCCTCCCCTTCTTATGTCCCTGCAGAAGCAGATGGGCAATTGCTGAATAGGACCAGTGGACAGATTTGGACTAAAACTGATGCAGCAAAAAAAGATTCCTGTCAGCCCATCCCCCCTGTGCATTCTGGCTATCACAAGGGCACACATTTGTGTTACCACCTGATGATGTCTGTGTAAGCAACTGGACAGGACTCCGAGGGCAAAAGGTGTGGTGAGATCTGCCTTCTGATGGACCCCACATGTATATTTTCTCCCCCAAAACAGGGTGATCTCATCCGTATTGCTTTTTAAGGCCAATGTCCCAAACCATGCCCAGACACAGTGCTAGATGGTACAGGCCAAAACAAATGTGGGGGAGCTCATCCTGAGCATGTTCAGTTTAGGTAGAGCTCTATGAGAGAGAGCAAGGTATCTGCTAATGGTGCAAAAGGGCTCCGTTCATGATATGAAGGCAGGAATGCGTGATTTGTCTAAACATACGCTGTTTTGTCTGGTTAGGTTTGTACAGCCTCTAACACTATCAAGTCACCACTGGCCAAAAAGTAAAACAGCCACCAGGCTGCTTTGGGTCAAAATTGCTTTCTCACAAGGAAAACATTCTCCCAAATTTTCTATGGGAAAAAAAGTTGTTCTGTGGCTTTTCTTTGAGCCAAAATATTTTAACTTGGTTCAGTAGGAACCTGGTTTCTGTAACAATGCTGTATTATATAGCTGGGTTTGTAGTTTTAGCCTACTCTATCTCCTGTGGTTAACTCCTGGATTAGACTCTATCTAGAAGGGTACATACAATACACTTACTGCTCTTGCTGTCATCCCTACAGCTGTGATGCGATGCTGGAGACAGGGCCTGAACCCATGGACTTATTCACCAAGGATGGAATGACACAATAGGCAATTCAACCTCCAAACCCCATCAAGCAACTTAACATTGCTGAAATATGCAGCTTTTGTGCTCAGCTGAGAAAAGAAGAAATATTCAGTTGTTTCTGAATCCATGTTTTTCAGAACATTTTGTTCCACAGTGTGTGTTGATATTTTGACTTCTTGTCCCAAAGCGGATGGAAATTCCGACTTTTTGTTCAGCCCTTGCTGCAGCCTCTAGCTCCTGCTATAATAAAAGCAAACCAATTCCAATAAAAGAAAAATAGCTTTTAACGCAGAGTTAAACAGTTTCAATGATGCCTTGTACAAAAATATTTTAAAATTCAGCCTTACAGAAAACAAAAGAC